CATCACTTCTGACTGCTGGTAATTGCCAACACGCTCGGTTTGCTTAGCAACAGTTTTGCAGCAGATGAACCCCTTGCGCAATTACAAAAGGCACTTGCAGATTCTCTAGATGTTTATGATGTTTCCGCTGATTTTCTGTGAATGCGTGTGACATCTGAGTGGGGCTGCCCAAATGGATTTGTCCAGATTTCCCCTTGGTGTGCCGCAGGGAAAGCAGAAGCACTCAAAATCGCTGACCTCCCTTTCTCTCCACGGAATCGTTTTTCTTTTGTTACTCAGGGATGAAAACACTCTCAGCATCCCCACAGACTTACTTCAGCGGCAATTATTCCTCTGCAAGAGCACTACAGAAAATGAGTTCTGCAGAAGTTTCGCTAGTGCCAGCCGCTGTCTTCTGCAAACTCTTGACCTAATTGAAGAGCCAAAGGAAAAAGCGGCTCCCACTTCAGATATGTTTGCGTGCACAGCAAGGGAAGCTCTTCATAGCAGGACAACTTGACAAAAACAAGTAAAGGGGTGCTCATACGAGCAGTGCATCCATCAGATGCGAGCAGACAAAAATATCCAACTATGCGAGTGATTATGAGCAACTACAAGCAATCCATAGGGAGTCAGCTGGGGCAACTGGCTTTAGTACAGCCGTCTTTGTGTGATTTGTGATAGAAACTTCTACTGACTTTAACAAAGTTTTCTAAGCTGCGACAACCCATAGCCTGCAAAACTTGCTTAGGGCAGAAGTTTAAAAGATGAAGGATTTGTCCACACTCATCTTCATTCCATAACGATCACACACAGCCTCCTCCAAGGCCAGTCTCCAGTTAAGCGCCCTCCTGGGCTTAACTTCAGTGAAGAAGCATTCACAGGCTGTGCTAAGAACTTGTACCCCAGGGACAGAGAGAACATGGACCCAGCCACCCCTCCCTTTGGGCCGCTCTTGCACAGCCCTGGGGCTCAGCGTGGTCCCCTGTCCTGCTCCACGCTCAAGGCCAGCTGTGTCTCATCCTAGTGTCTCTCTGCTCATCCCTCCCTTGGCCTCTGCCCCATCACCAGCCAAGCTGTCGTGGTTTCTGTTTCCCCCTTGGCTGAGCTCTGAGGGCACGGTTAAGCAAAGCTCTGCTGTGTGCAGTGAAGATGCATCACCAGAGCTCTCCGGAGGTGTTTCTGACCTCAGGAAAAGCCTCCGCACCTTGAGGCATCTGTAGACCTGACACTGGCATTTTCTGGCACTTGATCACTTACCTGTGCCACAGAAACGTTCCTGTGAATAAACACAAACGAGAAATGTTTGACATGATCAACCAGGTATTGAAATGACTGTCCTAAAATCATAGAATCACAGAATGTGCTGGGTTGGAAGGGACCTTTAAAGCTGATCCAGTCCAACCCCTGTAGTGAGCAGGGACATTGGCACCAGATCAGGTTGCTCACAGCCCCATCAAGCCTGGTCTTGAATGTCTCCAGAGATGAGGCCTGCACCACCTCTCTGGGCAACCTGTGCCAGTGATTTAACACCCTCATGGTGAAGGACTTTCTCCAGTCTAAATCTCCACTTTTCTAGTTTAAAACCATTACCCCTCGTCCTATCTTTTCATGCCTTGGTGAACAGCTCTTTCCCAGATTTCTTACAGGCACCTTTCAGGTCCTGGATGGTCACTATAAGGTCCCCCTGGAGCCTTCTCTTCTCCAGGCTGAACAGCCCCAACTCTCTCAGCCTGTCCTCATAGAAGACCTTCTCCAGCCCTCGAATCATCTCTGTGGCCTCCTCTGGACCCGCTCCAGCACTTCAATGTCTTTTTAGTGCTGGGTGCTCCAGAACTGGACACAGCTCTGCGGGTGAGGTCTGACCAGAGCAGCGCAGAGGGGCAGAATCCCCCCCTGGCCCTGCTGGCCACACTTCTTGTGATGCAGCCCAGGATGGGGTTGGTTTCTGGGCTGCAGATGCGCATTGGTGGCTCATGTCCAGCTTCTCATCCACCAGTGCCCCAAGCCCATTTCCTCAGAGCTGCTTTCCAGCACATCATCTCCCAGCCCGTATCAGTAACGAGGGTTGCCCCTACCCAGGTGCAGGACCCTGCACTTGGCCTTGTTGAACCTCATGAGGGCCCACTTCTCCAGCTTGTTCAGGGCCTTCTAGATGCCATTCCTTCCCTCTGGCACATCAACCTCACCACTCAGCTTGGTGTCATCAGTGAACTTGCTGAGGGTGCACTCAATCCCACTGTCAATTTCATTAATGAAGATATTAAACAGACCCTTGAGGGACACCACTTGTCACCATCTTCAGCCTGGACATCGAGCCATTGACCAGTAGTCCCTGGTTGTGATGATCCAGCCAATTCCTTATCCACTGAACAGTCCACCCATCAAATCCATACCTCTCCAACTTAGAGAGAAGGATGTTGTGGGGGACCATGACAAGTACCTCAGCAGAGTAATGTTTGGTATACAGTGTACTCCAACATGGTATTTTACCTTGTCAAAGGTTCTGACTTTTCTCAAAGTTACATGGGATTAATTAGGGAAACAATGGACTCGTTGGCACACTTAAATTGTTGTTACTGCCGACTCCTAAAGGGAAGCTCCAGTGGATTTTAGTGCGATGGACTATGACATTCCCTGAGCTGCCATTTCTGGACTTCCACCAGACACCACTGCCCTCCATAGCAGAGGGAGGCATTTGTCCCAGGTACTCCAGTATTTTAACTCTAACCTACCTTTGCAAATCTAAAGGTAAGGCATAGATTCACTGTGAAGCTTTTAAGTATGT